TCTATCCGTACAAACCCATTTTAACCACGACATCCGGGGATGCTATTCTAAAATTTACCCGAAATATTTTATAMCCGATTGCCTGGGACAGATCGATCAGATACACTTCATCGAAAAAACAAGCCTTGTTTTAATACATCACCCTAATAGATTGATAAATAACTGTCTCATTTGAATAAATTTATATGGCAGCACTAATACATGAACTTGGTTGCTTTTGCCGTGTCATCATATGGCCTAAAATCGGAAATCTTAAATATAAGTTAGAATTGCAAAAAGTTATTGGTGTTAGCAAGTATAAATATCTTATAAAAATATTTGCATAATATGGAACCTTTAGTGGTCAACCAACCTGTTGTCATTGACAATGTAAGTGTGCTATAACTTAATTCGCTTACTAACAAATTTGGCATAAAGACTGGGTGTGTGGCATCCAGTGACATCACTCGTCGTTTTATGCAAAACTATGAAGCCGCAGTTCCCGTGCCTCTCTTATAAACTTCAACTGCTTCATAAGGATGGTATACATATATAGAAAAAGTGATGACTAAACCTTCGCATATACATATTATCGATTATACCTTTACATTTCTAAATATTAAATTCTGATTTCCAATATTAATTTATTTATGCTCAAAAATTAAGCATGTTTCATACCTGGTTTATTTATTATCTTTATTTTTCAACGTTTATATTTGATACAAGATGTGCGGTCGTATTGCCCACCTAATATTATGCCGTCATCCAATCCTAACTTCCTGTCATATTTTAAGGGATATACTACAGGTTGTTTCTCACGGACCCACGTTGGCGGCAAACTTAAAGCAACCGTGTTTTTATCAATTTCTCTTCGTCCACATTTTCCATAATGTTTCTTAAATGCTTCCAGTCTAGAAATCTTATTATATGGATCACGGTAGTAGTCTCTAAATTCTTGGCAATCAAGGTAGAAATTATCAATGTCATCTAATTTGGCATAGTTAACCATAGTTAGCCCAATTTTAGGTGCAAAATTCATGATAGATTTTCTGGAATTTCTGGAACTGCGTGAAACAATCAGCATATCAACTTCTGGAGCGATAATAGTTTTCATTTTATATATATGTTTTTKTTAATTGTTATTGAATAATTTGAATTTTTAAAATTTAAATCTATAGATAAAATTTGTGCACTTATAATATACAATTGTCATTTTTCTCAAAGGGTTCCGGGGTTATAAAAGCTGGTTTTGCTGGGGAGCACATTCCAAAGTGTCGGTTTCCAAACTAGTAAGTCAATCATTTATACTAATATTGAAAAACGAATAGATTTATTTAATATATAACATAGTATTGGACGGCCAAAGCATGTTCGGGTCATGGCTGGCGCTCTTGAAGGAAAGATTTTCGTTGGGCCCAAAGCAGAAGAGCATCGAGGCTTACTAAGTATAAGATACCCAATGGAACATGGTATAGTTACTGATTGGAACGACATGGAACGAATTTGGAATTACATTTATAGTAAGGTAAAATGATGCACATTTATGTCAAACTAAGAACACTTACATCTAACAAAAACATTTRACCAATTTGTTCTGCTCTGCATTAAAAAATAGGAACAATTAACCACATTTCCTGAAGATCACCCCGTTTTATTAACGGAAGCACCATTAAACCCCAGGAAAAATCGTGAAAAAGCAGCTGAATTTTTTTTTGAAGGAATAAACGTACCCGCGCTTTTTGTATCAATGCAAGCTGTCCTCAGTCTGTAAGTAGCTTTTTATAGTAAGCTTGAATGTAAAATGATTCGGTTTGTATGAAGTTACGCTACAGGTCGTGTAACGGGAGTTGTGCTTGAYTCAGGTGATGGTGTTACTCATGCGGTTCCTATTTACGAAGGATTTGCGATGCCTCATAGTATTATGCGTGTTGATATTGCTGGACGAGATGTTACACGTTATCTTAAGACTCTTATTAGAAAAGAAGGTTTTAATTTCCGAACTACCGCAGAATTCGAAATTGTGCGATCAATTAAGGAAAAACTTTGTTATCTGGCGACTAATCCCCAAAAAGAGGAGAGTGGAGAAACTGAAAAAATTTCTTATATATTGCCTGATGGCAAGACTTTGGAAGTCAGTAACATATCGAAATGGAAAATATATCATACAAATGTTTTTGTTTTCTAATTTAGGTTGGTCAAGCAAGGTTTAGGGCACCGGAAGTGCTCTTTCGACCAGACTTACTTGGTGAAGAATGTGAGGGCATTCACGATGTACTCATGTATGCTATTGAGAAATCTGACATGGACCTTAGAAAAATGTTGTATCAAAATATTGTATTATCCGGAGGTTCAACACTATTTAAAGGCTTTGGTGATCGCCTATTGTCTGAATTAAGAAAACACTCAGCAAAAGATCTAAAAATTAGAGTGAGTCAAATCGAAAATATTTTCTAGTATTCATTTTACGTTTAAGTTCTACAGTAGTATGTGACGTTTGATTATATGACCCGTATTTTACTTATTTGAAATTATGTCTTTCGTAAAGTATTATAATTTGCTATCGTTATTCTTACTACGCAGATAGCGGCACCTCAAGAACGTCTGTATTCCACATGGATGGGGGGCTCCATTTTAGCATCGCTAGATACATTTAAGAAAATGTGGATATCGAAACGAGAGTATGAAGAAGAAGGACAGCGAGCCGTACATAGAAAGACATTTTAAATAAATAACTAAATATAGTGTGTRTACTTATAACTATAAGTCAGTGTTTTGAATTCGAAAACTGAATGCAAATCATAGTGTCGCGTCACTGCAGAGTTAAAAAGAAAGGGAAAACCATCTGAACATGTTCTGTGAAAATTAAATATTTAACATAATTTAAAAATAATACCTTGCAAATAATACATAATTTATTACCATCGGTTAATTTTATTACACGAAAGAGCTTACAAAAGTTATAAATCAAATATGAAATCGGTTTTAAAAATTAATTCTATTGAATGCTTTAGTAGGATTCCTTCCTAATAATACTCAACTATTTTGAGTTCAATAAACTGCTTTGTAATATATGAGGAATTATACATATTTACGTTTTATTCRTCAGTTTAAAGATTATATCCAAAATAGGTATAGATTAAGTTGTAAGTTGAAACGATTTAATGAATATTAATTGTAATTTTCTAATGCCTAAATTTGGGCAGCATAGTCTCAGACTGTCACTCGATAGGCCGGTGCTTCCAACACCATCCTCAACACAACTTAAATTGTTATAATAAATATTTTCTAAAACCTTTACKGAAATTTCTGTCACGATAGAGAATTGGTAATTCACAGGGTACCAAGGATGTAAGTGGCAGTTARTATTTGTAATGTAATGTATAATGTAATTAATGGGTACAAACAAGGTGATTCACGCTTCAATAATTTGGTATTAAACTACGCTATTCTCTTTATATTATGCTATGTAKTGTGCATTGTACGCAAGGTCATGACAAAACGGTGTTGTCTCTCACAATTTAAATTATTGCGCTATCCAGTCGAATATAAGTTGTATAATCGTTAAGTTGCGTAAGTTAAAGCATTACAGTGTTTACCGCTTGGTGTTACTATAGCAGCAAAAGTTGATTCGCGTATCCATCSGCAAATACATATTGGATCACTGAATAGAATGAAATTATCAGTTTAATAAAATAAATTTAAAGTGCATTCACTGCAATAATTGTTACTAGCTTTTGTGTTCATATACATGTATACAGACATACTATATTTTTTTTATAGACGCGGTATCAATTTTTTTATATATGTACATATGTATACAACGTCGTTGAAACCGTTTCTATGCGACATATATACATATGTATATGTACATACACTCATATTTGCTGAATATTTACTACTTTCATTTTGTACTTTTTATATTATTTTTATATTTATATTAAATTAAATTTTATATTTATGTTGGTGTGTCCAACGTGTATAAAAAAACAAGTACTGTTGCAACAAAACACCGCTAATTTTTAATTTCGACATACATATGTATACGGCGAATTATTAAATACAGAGTTATAAATACGTTATCTCTAAAATCATCATTCGAAATGGCGCAGATTGCAACAAGTATGGCTAATGCCTTTAGTAATGAATCGGAGGTAAGTATAAGAAAAAAAAAATTTAATATATTTAGATGTTTATAAATACACATGCACATATTATTTACAGTATGAGAAAAACTAGTAACTTCTTCCTCTTCTTTACTGGCGTAGGAACCGCTTACGCGGTTATAGACGAGTTAACAACAGCACACCAGTCGTTTCTTTTTTCGGCAAGGTGGCGCCAATTGCAGATTCCAAGCGAAACCACGTCCTTCTTGAAATCAGATTTCGTTATTATTTTTCCTTTCATCTTTCCTATTTTATCTTCCTTTTTATATATTTTAATTAAGAAAAGAAAATTGACGCTGAAGACAAGTTTGACATTATGCGTATATTATATACTTACTTATTATGTTCTTGAATTAAGAAAAATCTTTATTTTAATCGGTCTGTTTGAATGACAGATATAACAATTTTAATATTCGTGAAAATAATTTGTCAAATAAAAAAACTTCAGCCAAATTGTATGACAGCTAAATGCAAATACATACATATATTCGGACGAATATGGCTAAATCGACTATGATTTTCACGCTAATAAATATATGTACATATATATGTTTATAGAATACATGTATAAGCATACAACATCATCTTCTATAAGAGCGTACAGCTGCTGGCGAACGCAAATGATATTGATATCATTGGCCTCAACAACAGCGGCGTTAGTTCTGCTTTCTTCAGAATGGAAAAGTCAGCGAAGCAAATGGGTCTGGTGGTGAATGAGGGCAAGACGAAATATCTCCTCTCATCAAACAAACAAGCAGGCAATTGAGAAGTAAAGTCCTCTTTCGATGGACAAAAACAAAATTCTATAAGTCACTCATTATTCCCATCCTGCTATATGGTGCAGAGGCTTGGACTATGGCAACAACTGATGAGTTGACGTTGAGAGTTTTCGAGAAAAAAGTTCTGCGAAAGATTGACGGCCCTTTGTGCGTTGGCCACGGCGAATATCGGATTCGATGGAACGATGAGCTATATGAGATATATAACGACATTGTCAAAGTTTAGCGAATTAAAAGACTGCGGCTACGCTGTCTACGTCATGTCGTCCGAATGGAAGAAAACACTCCAGCTCTGAAAGTATTCGACGCAGTACTCGCCGGGTGAAGCAGAGAAAGAGGAAGAAATCCACTCCGTTGAGCAAAGACCAGGTGGAGAAGGACCTGGCTTCGCCTGGAATGTTCAAGTGTTAAAAACGATTTTCGGCAAAACAAAGAATGCTCTAGAAACAAGTTAATTCTGTATTAACAAATTTTTCACACATGTGTGAAAATGTATRTATGTGTGAAATTTAAGTAACCAAGTTTATGCATTTTTAGTTTTATCTTTTATAAAAATTTATCTTTCACAAATTTGGTGGTARACTAGTACACTGGTTTTGATTAAAAAAATATATTATTTTTCCTTACTTTGACTCAATATCAGAACTTAACCTTGATTTTCAATCGAAAAATCTCACAGCTTTCGCTTTCTCTCTAATTCTGATAGTATAAAAAATATAAAAAAAACTATTGTGAATTTTCTCAAAAGATATAAATAAATAAATGACCCTCTAAACGATCCAGACCTGATTTTTTAAAGCTACTACTACGAAATAACAGGTGTCTGAAATAAAAAAGCAGGTTAGAATCGTTTAGATCCTCTTTCTCTTACGGACCACATATTGACGTAAATAATTTTTTATTTAATTTTGTAATTTTCATTACTACAATGGATTGSAGCATATTTTATGCCCCTATTGCGGTTTTCAACCAAACTGCAATTCAGTCGAAGTGTAAAAATTCTGTATTGCCAACTTCAACTCAATCCGCCAAAAAAAAAATTGCGGTTGAAGTATGATCGACTAGTATATAAATAAATTTCAACTGCTTAAGAGCTTAAGAGCAGTTGAAATTCAACATTCGTGCAGTAAACTACAAAAAAATATTAAAGAAAAATGGAGAACCGGTCAAATAACTATTTTAATTAATGTTAAATTAATTTTAATTCATATTTTTTATAAATTTTTAGAAAAAATAAAGTTACAACAAAGAAGCAATTTGAAAAATTGGTGGAGTTAATGGAGAAGTTTCCAGAAGTAGGAAGAGGAAAGCCACAATTTGGAAACAATAAATTCAAAATCATCTCATTCAGTAAAAAACAAAATGCTTCTTTATTTAATCGAAAATAACTTATGAATCTGCAACAAATATTATTAAAAAGCCACTCAATTGTGAAAAAACTATGGCTTACTTTGCATTTAGAAGCTCCAATGGATTTGAACGATCACGAAGGCTTTCCCGTATACGTAGCACATCAATTTTGCCCCCAATATTTTCGTCATTGTAATATATGTAGATCAACACTTATATCCATTTTTTATTTATGTTAATGTTTATTCACTTCAATTGTTTCAATATGTCGTTTAAAAAATTTTAGCTGTTTCACTATCTGTCAAATTTCCCTTTCTTAGGTTGGCAACGCCAATCATACTTCAACTGAACTTAGTTGAAGTTCGCAATACCGAAAAAGAGTTTGGTTGATCTGAAGTTGAATTTAATTAACTTCAACTCGACCAAGTCGGGTTGAAAMCCGCAATAGGGGCATTAATTTAAAAAGATTTTAACTATTTTCAAACACCCAGCACTGCAACGTTGGTCATTTGAGCGGGTGCTCCGGGGTTTCAGGCTCCCTGTCGCAAAACCGACAGTTGGCGCAAGATGATAGGCCCATGTTAGATAAATGCCTTTTCAACTTGCAGTGGTCGGTGTAAAATGCGACCAGAAGCCTAAGTTTGTCCCTTGGGAGGTTTATTATCGATTTGAACCTCTTCTGGTTATACCCCCAACTAGCAGCTTGGCGTGTCGCATACCATGCACTCGCTGCCTATGCCTTTCCCTGCWCACTCTTTCTTCCTTGCGGAGCAGTTCCTTCACAGTATGRGGACCCACTCCAGTGAAGGGTTCGGGCCCAACCATATTGGTTGAGGCTGCAGAGCGGGAACGCTCGTCAGCCAGTTCGYTGCCGGCTATACCCCTGTGACCAGGCACCCAGACAGGTGCACCTGGTTCTTTTCAGCTAGGTTGTTCAGCCGTTCTCTACACTCTTGCACTAGTAGCGATTTGATCTCGTAAGATGAGATCGCTTTTAGTGCCACTTGACTATCGCTAAGCATAGCTATTCGCTCATTGCGAYAGTTGCGGTGGAGGTTTATCTCTATACACCGACTTATGGCCAAGACTTCGACCTGAAAAATGCTCGGAAAGCTTCCCATCGGTATGGAGAGCTTCGTACGTGGACCTGCGATACCTGCACTGATTCCTCTCCGACGTTTTCGAGCCTTCGGTGTACCACTTCAATACGCTATCCCTTAGCAGTTGCTCAAGAGTGGGGTCGTTCCACTCACTCTTGTTACCGAGGGTAAATGCATACACATGCCAGGCGCTGAAGCTTATATAATTGGGTTACTATCGAAACCAGCGACGCTATGGAGGCCCGGGACTCCGCCCCGTATGTAATTATTAGTTAATATTGTAAACGCCTTATTGCCCATATTGAGGTTTGGTTGCCATGGTCCTTTACTGTATATATGTATGTATACTACATAGATGATTTATAGATAGGAACTCATTTCGGTGTGGTTAAACTGAAGGATCATACAATGAACAGATGCTTGGTTGTACTGACAACTTTAATTTTATTGAGTGCCATGAACATAGCTCGGTCTAGCTAAGTTGGAACTGTAAGGCGACCGGTTACTGGTACTCAGGTAGATTCCGATTCAAATGTAAACGGAATTATGATACGGCCAAAATGAAATCACATTACTGAAATTATGATACGGCCAAAATGAAATCACATTACTGAAAATTTACCTAATATTTACAATTAACTTATCCATTTCTTTTTATAAGATTGATTTTTCTACAGATGAAAGCCATGGATGCTAACCGGTATGCGACTAAGAAAACAATTGCTCAAGGTATGCTGGATATCGCCCTTCTCACCGCCAATGCCTCACAATTGAAATATATACTTCAAGTTGGGGACCAACATCAGTTTTATAAACTAATGCTGATAATGATAAGCCTTTCAATAATATTACAGGTAAATAAATATCTATATKAAATTCGTTCTTACTAATTATCCTTCTTTGACAAACTACTCATTTAATGACATACCAAGTACAGGTTTTATCCGGAGTCTTAAGCCTTAGCTTGAGTCTAATGCGAGATTGTAGAATGCATAAGCCTGAATATTATCAGTCAGCAAATGTTATAAATCATATTCGCACAGGGTTCGCCTTTTTTACTGCTACCATAAATTTGTTCATTTCGGCTTTTGACACGCGTCTGCCACTTCTCATCGGAGGCCAAGTAGAAGAACACAAATAATAAGAATAATGATTTAGTATGCTCGTAAACTTATGTATAAAATATTGATAAGTGTGCTAATGAGCGGACTCTATGAATGTAATGGTTTGCAAAACATAATTCTGGAGAGCACTTGTTTCTTGCTTTAAAAAGTTATATGTAATAAATTATGGTATCATAATACCATAAAGTTGTATGAAAATGTTAACTGTTAAAAAAAGTACGATTGCAGATTATTTCAAACTAAGAATTTATCAAGAGTAAGAATAGAATATTATAATGTTGGCTATTCTATTATTCGAGAATTCTTAGAAGTATGGGATTAATGATAGTTGTTTTCCCTTTGTTTCATGGTTATTTAGTACATAATATACATACATATTTTTTTTTATTTTATTAAAGCTTACATAATAAACAAATTATTATATAAACTAAAGTACACAGCGCTAGATCAGAGGCTATCGGCTGACATACATATATACATATTTATGCCGATGTATAATGTATAGAATATATACATTTGTATACGGAAGTATTTAAATTATATTGAAGAATGCCTGCAATTTGAATAATTAAGTTTCAAATTATATTTTTCACAGCTCTTGGTTGGAATACTTTTTGTTGTTATTGGTAGTCTAAATATCAATCGCCAAAAGGATCAAGCGGCCGCTGTGATCATAAATGATATTATTCTCGTTATTATATTTGTCATTTCTGTAATAAATATTATAATATCAGGATTTGGCATCGAATACTCTTCCCAACCTCTCACACTCTTAGAACAGCAGGCTAATAATTTACCATAAAATCCAYCAGCATATTCAATAGAGACCTGCCCGTGTAAGTAAAAATTAATTTAGTTTTGAACGCAAATATGTTATATAAAAGCTCTGCTTTGAAGCAAGTTTAGTTTGATTAATAAATAAATATACGGATATAAAATAGAGATTCTGTAAAAATCTAATAATGAAGTAAATGAAAGTATAACTGTAAGGAGTTGGGTGAGGCGTTAAATTTTAAAAATATCGAAAATAGGCATAATTTGATATTGCTTATAAGAGGAGAAGAAGTGAATGATCGGGTTATAAAGATCATAACGTCACCTAAAATGCAAAATAACGTATCATCAAAAAATTCAAAATTTAGTTTTTTATTGATTGCAATTCACCACATCCTATTACACATACGTCTCACCACCTTTAAGCTTCTGCGATCAAAAAGTATCATCAAGTGCTTGATTTCATTAAACAAAATAATGTATCATCACTCATGTAGAAATAACTTCGAATTTGTTTTTTTTTATCACGAAGTTAGCCTTGATTTATTGTTTATGTTTATTAATATTTTTTTTTTTTTTTGGTGAAGTTCAATATGCTTTGGTTAGGTTAGGTTAAATGGCTGATCAAAGACCGCACATGGTAATCCTTTGTGAGGCCATAGAAGAGAACAACTGCTGTGTTCGAGCTATAAATTAGCAAAACGGTTAGAAGTCAATACAAATTTGCTAAGGCGTTTAATTTGCTTTTCCTCCAGTCCAGTGAGATGTCTGAAGAAATGCGCTCAATGTTTAAGTTTTAACCTACCAACCACGGACAGAGTCTGTTGTGGTTTAACGTGAGTTCCTGCCTGCGAAGGCCTAACCCCACGGTGCTTTCTATTGCTAGAAGCACATAGATCAAAACAATGCGTTGATCAGCGTCCCAAAGCACGAGTGCATGCACTTGCACGATACTCTGGAGAACCAAAGCATGAGTGCCGCCACATACACTAATACTTTGGTTCCAATATGTTTGGGTGGACGTAAAATACCCTAGCCACCTTRGTCGGGTACGAGGCCCATCTAAAACCCCTGCCGTACTCTGGGTCYGGCACCCGGCCGCAGTGCGACTCCACACCGGACTAAATGCCCTTCCTGCATTTAGGTTCAAACCACAGCCACCACGAATCTCCACAAAGGGCTAAAAATCCAATGACAGATTGGAGTTACCTCCAAGGGCTAACTGCTCCCCGTGGTACCATGTTTTAGTCTTTGGTGTGACTTGTAGCTTTCGCTACTGCCAGTTGAGCCCCCAAGAATTTCTAAGAATTCTAAAGAACTCAATTGTATGATGACAAGGTGTCTCGTAAATCCATCCCTACTCGAAAACACGGTCAAATACCAGGAACAAATACAGTGTACCATAAAGATTTTTTACGATGAATACTATAGCACTATATCTGACATGGACTATGCTGACAATTCAAGGCAAGCCCAGAATGACAGACACAGTTCATGCGGGATTTTAGTCGCCTTTTACTACAGGCATGCCTTACCACGGGAATATTCSGTTTCGGTAAAATTACCATATACAATTAATATACCCTGAATGAGATTTTAAAATGAAATCCTACTTCCTTTAATTGGTCCATCCTAGAATTGTGAAAATTTCTTGTCGCCGACGTAAGTCGTACAAAACAAAATATTTTTTTTTTTTATAGAAAATAAATACGCTATAATATAATACAATTGTTTATTGAGCCCCATATAAGTATATTATAATGTAACCATTGCAAAGAATAAGTTATTAATTTGTACACAAATACATATATAAAATATATAAACGTAATATTTAATCAAAAAATTAAAGCCAGAATTTTGGTAAAAGAATTGAAAATAAAGAGGTAAAAAGTGTCAACAGACTTCAAATAATTGAAATCAAGCTTTGGAATTTTAGTTGATTCTAATGAATCAGTACTTTTTTTTATTTGATTTTGGGGTTGTAGGATTTATAAAATATTATATTTCGCACCAACTAGATTAAGCAAACAACAATATATTTAATCTTATATGTATATACATATGTATACCAATAAATGCCATTGAAAATATTGGTTTAACTTTGTTTTTGTTCTATTTCTTTGTATAGGTAATTGCTGGGAGTTTATACACATCTAGATGTGTATAAGAGACAGACCATTGAAAATATTGGTTTAACTTTGTTTTTGTTCTATTTCTTTGTATAGGTAATTGCTGGGAGTTTACTGGTTGTTTTGTCAGTTATTGGGATACACAAATATAAATATCAACGCGCGCTTGTAGAGACACTAAATCATATTTTGAATGGAGTAATTTTCGTATCGGTTTTCTGCGATATCATAAAAATGAGTTTTGGTCTTGATACCGCGATTCCCACGGTCGAAACAATTGACAAATTAAAATAATAGTTCATTGTGCATTGATAAATTTAATTGGTAGTTCATTTATTATWAGTTTTACTCAAATCTATAAAGTTATACTTCTAATACGAAAATCTTGTTCATAATTTTTGACCCGATTTTTATTCGTTACTGGATCCAAATCAGCTGTCTTATTTGGTTTTCATGATTCAAAGATAAATTTTTCAAAGATTTCAACCAATGGACGTGGTTGTTTTGATTCGTAACTGATTAAGAATAGATTGTAAACAACACAAAATTATAAGAATAGTAAAAATCATAAGAAAAACAAAAAACAACAAATTCGAAAATCAATTACACTGCAGGGTAATCAAACTACTGCAGTCAATAAAATTTCGACTAAGCTAATCAAATATGATGCCAAAAAGAAAGAAGTAGTAATATATTATATTTATGTACATACATATGTAGCTATGGGATGGAATCTTTGAAAAATTGTTATTATGCTTCTTGTCCAAACAGGAAATATATATATATATATATATACATACATACATATACATTTTTATCACTTATGTAGATATTTTTCTTGAAGGACGAGTTTCTGACTATTATTTTGTTGGTAATGTTGACATATCCTATCAAATATCGGTCGCTAATATTCATAACTTCAATAAGTTGAATTTCACAAGAAAACTTTATGAATGTTCTATTGGAAACTCTCAAGCACCACAGTAGCAAATATTGTCAATATAAAAAAGAACTGATAGTTAATGCTTCAGTTAAGAGGGTAGTCGTCATGCAATTAGAAAAGATTAATCATCATCCAAAGATAAAAGAGCATTGGACATCGAACCCTTTTATTATTCTCACAAGGAAAAAGGATAAAGGAAGGAGTGTTTGGACTCAACTCGACAACAGATTTTTTTAATTTTTAACTTGTCCTAAAAAATGTTTTCCCATATTAAATCAAACATGTTTATTACAAACTGAAACCTTATTTTTATTTTTATATGAAACATAATAAATAGTACTAAAGAATATTCATATTGTCTTTGGTAAAAGGGTGCAAATTATTACCTTTAAATTAATATCAAATAAAAATTCGAATATATTAGAATCCTTGAACAAATTAAAAAGCCTTTTTATAAATAAAATATTTTTGTATTGACTATTTTTTTTTGACCACAAGGATAAAGAATTCCTTTTTCGTTGCCTTATTATATATTTTTTAGCAATATAATGGGTTACAAAAAGAAACTAAACATTTGTGCTTTTGCAGTTTTCGTTGAAGTTGTACATATGGTAACACTAAATACTATTGCAACACTGTATCATAATGAACTGCAATGAATTGTCTTAACCTCACAAGTCACGACAGAAGTAAAGAAGAGAAAAGAAAGTGGGTGCAAGAATCGAAAAATCGCGTTGGTGCATATCAGACAATTTAGTGAAAATAGCAAAAAAGTTATTGAAATTTAAAATTTGAGATTCCGATCCCTTTGAAGTAATCAGTCCAATATCATATCAATTAAAACGTCCAAAATTTACGTAGTGTAGATTAACAGCAAGGGGAACTCCAAAGCAAATGAACAACAGACCCTGCTGAAGGAAATTCCTTGAAGCTTAKAATACAGAATAAATAAATTAACAATTTTGAACTTGTTACCGAAAAATTACTTAATTGAATCATAGTGTTATGTTTGTTAACTAAGTGGTCATATAATGTTTCCAAGGAATCAAGTGCGCTGCATGTTATTAATAACTTTTTTTGATGAACGGGGAGCAAGGGTGGATTCGGAAATGTGTTATTTTACAAAACATTGCTGATTACAGTTGATATCACTGTTTGGAATTTTGCAGCTTGTTAAACAGCAGTCGCTTAAGACTTTTCAATCCAATGTTTTCATAGATTTGAAATTGTCCAAAATTAACAAGGGTATTTGTGCGGCTTGCTAATTTGTGCCTAATAATATTATGGTAGTTTTAATCTTTTGTTAAGAATATCCCTGTTATAATCTTCGCTTGTTCATATCCTGTTTTTTGTTATATGAGCGCAATATCAAAAATTGTACGTTAATTAATATGATACAAAACCTGAAGCAAACAAATAAGTAAATATTTACACCCGTCCGCACCTACCTATCCCTCTTGCTACTGGATTTTTCAAAAAATTGAAAGAGCGGATAATATTAAAAAATACGTAAAAGTAAGTTTCACATTTAAACACATCAAATTAATAAGGATGCATTTATATACAATATGATCAGCTGTCTGTATATATGCCAAATAGTCGTTCACTTTTTAAGACATTGATCTGAAAGGATAAATTTTAGAATGGCATGGGCCGATCTTGGTGTTAAAATGATTATGAGGGAATCTACCCGGGTTTTAGAATAACATCCCCCGATTTCGATGTTAGGACGGGTATGAGGAGGTTCTCCAGATTAAAAAATATGTACATATTCATATAGTTGCCTCCCACTTATGGATTTTTGCATTTAAAGTTCAAAAATTCAAAGTGCTTATTCCTTTGATTTATAATGAATTTTATTCATATATTTTTAATTTTTATATTCACTAACACTTTACTAATTCGGTTCAACACATTTGTTTTGTATTAAAAAGTGCAAAAATCACTTCAATTCCATATTTAACATTCCTTGAAAGTCATTTATTCATACAATAAGAAAAGCAAGCAAAAAATAAGGATTATCATACTTTGTAAACGAATAAAATCTAATTAAAAATAAAGATTATATCATCAATACAAAATTCATTATCGTGTGATGAATAACGAACACTTTTTCAGAATTTCCTTTATCTTGATAATCCCGGTCTTGCCCGACCAGGGCTATTCTTTTTGAGCTGCGAAAGAACTGAGTACGCCCAGTTGTTGATCCGACCAGGGTTATTTTTTTATGCGCAGTCGAAGGCCGCCAACGCAAAAGAGATTTCTAATCGGAAGAGCCGGAGAGGCCCCTATGTTGCCCCGACGAGGGCACGGCCGAAGTCTGCCAACGCAAAAAATTATCATATGCGAAAAACTAATAATTTGTTATTTATATTCTATCATTGGGGTATTATTTGTTTTTATTATTTCTTTTGGTTATTTTGTAAAATACATGTAGACAAGGTAACACTAATTATTTGTAAATTACAATTAAATAAAAAATTAGTATTTTTACATTACAACATTAGGCCGAAGTAGTTACAAAGAAACGGGTATTGATAACTGAACATACAAAATTTACATAAAATGAATATGCGCGGCCTACTACCGTAATTGCACGTTTTGACTTTGTATATTCAGTTTTTTTGTGTAGGTAGAGTTTTTTTTTGGATTGCTGTTAATTTTTGTAAGAACAATATTTAATAATTTATAAATGATGTGATTTTTTTTTACTGAAATATGGAGTGAAGCGTATGAGAAAAAGGTGTAGACTTTTGGCGCTGACGATATACATATTATGTTACATTGAAAAGCTGATCATAATCAAATATATGTACATATATATAAATACAATGTCGATTGCATAGTAGTGCTGTTCAGAAAGTCGTATTTTCATTATTCTATTCTTTTTTCAGAAATAATTTTCACGGATGTAATATCTACAACAACTCATAATGGAAAAATGTTGGATTATCGTACACTGCTACRAAACCCTCCCTCGATATCAAGCTATACTACGATTTGCACATACATCATAAACTAAAATTCAGTTTACTTTTGAATATAACGATACATGCAACTAGTTTTTGTAATTTCTCTTTTTATGGTAAGTGATTTTATAATAACTGAACAGGGTATTTTAAGTTTGTAACACCAGGGAGAAAACGCCAGAGACCCTCTAAAATGTAAAAAAAATTATTAATTTCGAAGTTTTATAAATTTATTTTTAAGAAAAAAATTAGGAACTTTAAATTTAATGAAAAATGTTTATTATCATTCAAAAGAACATTCTTTGGCATTTATTTTTTAGATTATCTCTTCCAAATATTTTACGCGGCTATCTCTCAGATTGTCATTCGCATTTCAACTAGTAACTGGCGTGTGATGTTTTGCTCCAAGGTCTGAATTGTAAGGGAATTCTTCGCATAGAATTAAGATTTTACATATCCCCACATAAAAAGCTTAACGGTGTGATATCATACGATCTTGGTGGCGAATCGACCGACCCAAAACTTGAAATTATATCATRGTAATATGATAAATAGTATCATGGTAACATGGCGCGATAACGGTATATGCGTATGCGTTTTTTATGTTTGCTTATTCAAAGTATACATTTGCCACAATTGAGGGATGTGACCAACCTTTTCAACTGGGAGGATCTGAACCGCCTCGGTGACGGTCGTCATTGACGGTTACGTTCTCACCGGCATTATTTTTGAAGAAATATAGACCGATGATTCCTCCGGCCCACAAACCACACCACATCGTTGTTTATTCTAGATGAAATTACAGTTTTTCAATCTCTTCAGGTTGCTCTTCGTCCCAAATGCGATTTTTTTTGTTTACATACCTATTGAAACAAAAGTGGGCCTTACGTTGAAAAAAAATTGGCTCGAAAACGTAAGATTATCTTRKAACTTTTCAAGAGGCTATAGAGCGAAGCGAAGTTCGAGCGGCAACAGTTCTTGCTGTTGCAAGTTACTGCGAACGAATCGACTCTCCACGGTCTTCGTGTACTCYCTCAGCTACAGGGCCTATATATTTTTTCATTGTGTCCTGGACGTGATCGTTCGGTCCTATATTATCCAATAATGAATGCTGCTTCTCAGGACTGGTAGTGGTGTTCTGAATAGTACGCTTAGTAGGCCGATTGTTTTGATCATAAGTTGAGTGAAGCTAGCRAAACACATTCTTTACAGAACGTGAATTTTCGTAAAAAAGGTGAACGATTTGAACATGTCAGCTTGACACGTCTCACGCGTGATCTGTCTAAATGATGACTAATGAATGACTGATCATCGATATAGCTGCCATACAAGCTGTACGATCAACACATTCAAATGTCCTTTGTCAAGACAACAAGCAAGACATGATTGAGATAGATATACAGCTATAGCTTTTAGCTGCCATACAAACTGATATATCAAAATCCAGTTCTTTTGTATATGATGATATATCTTCACGAAATTGGAATATTGTCCAAGGGAACTTCGAAGCAATCTTCGAAGATGAAGGGTATAATAGCTTCGATGCAACCGAAATTAACGCATTTTTGTTCTATAAACTTTTTATACCAGAAAATCGTCTAAGAATTAATAGAGTTTTTACATCCATTTATAAGGGAGTCCATACATTACTTTAGGAATAAAAGTTAATTAGCACATCAACATAAATCCATTGTGTTTTTTATGTGTTGTACCAAGTTTTAACCAATAAGAAATTATTTTAATTTTGCTGAATCTGAAATTTCATTTTATAGACGAATTAAAAATGGTTCAAAGATACTAGTTAACACAATAAAACTCTTTTTTACCAACAAATCAAATAGTTTCTTTACATTCCATTCTTATTACTATATTCTCTTTGAAAGTTATAAAGTGAATATGATTCAATTATATGTGCAATGATGTGAGCAATTTTGTCTTGAATGTGTCTACCGTCTGTTCAACATTCTTTCCAAATATGTAAATTTTAGATATTAATATCTACATACATATGTAGGATTCTTTCATTTATTTATGGTGTGGAAAACTTAGGTAAGCCTTAAGTTACATTGTTCATAAGAATTTTTCACTACAGCGCATTTATTCGTTCTACGATGCGCACAAAATATGCCTACTTAAGCTTGTGAAAACGGTATGCTTAAAGTACGATACATGCATTTTTATAGTTGACATATACTATGTAATAGATTGTACACATAAGAGCTAATAAAAGCCACGAAACATTGATTGTTGTGTTGTGTTCAAAACTTATATATAAACTAAAACTAGGTCGAGCAGATGCTTAAGTTAATATCTGGTTTAGATTTGAGACCGGAAAAGGTTGCAAAATTAAAAAAAAACTTAAAACTCCCAGGAGCTTCTATAACCATTAAGCTGACAAATCTAAACTCTATCGAAACTGTTCATAAAAGGTGTTTTATRTTAATAACAAAATATTGTAAATACTATTATTTTAATCACAGAGTGTCAATACGAATMCATTTCGAAAATTTTTTTAGCCTCTACTACATCAATAATACTTCTCTGTGTTTCACATTCTTTTGAAACAAGAAAATGACATGACATTTTTCCAAAGAATGTTAATAACTAGTATAACTGCACCACGAAACAAACAACAATTATCTAAGAGAAATTTTATGATTCTGTAATATTAAAAAAGTTATTTGGCTGTGTTATATAATAAAGACTGCTAACAAAGATAGAAATAAAAAATGTACATACATTAATTTTCCTTATATAGTATTAAATTATCAATTTATTATATATATGAACCCAACTGTACTAACCACATACATTCATATATACACAAAGCTTACTTTTCATTGCTTCACACACAAAATTTTCCGAGCTTCACACTATTGCTTTTAGGCGAAAACAGTTAGAATGAAGAAACTTGAACCGTCTCAGGCAAGACTGATAAGGAGAGTACCACATAATTTATTTTGGTATATTGCTGGTTGATGCAGAAGAGTAGGACGATGAAACCAAAGATGCCTTCTATGAGTGCTCAAAATCGTGTTTGATGATAACGCCACGAGAAAAAATACTCAAAAGGGTTGAGGCTGATCGACTTCGCCTAGGCCTGAAATATGGTTATCTCTAGTACTAGATTCTAGCATATAAAAATCTTGACTGCAACCAAGCTACCTGGCTGTCTTCGAATCGAAAAGCCGCCAACCAGATTGATCATATTGTGTTAGACGGAAGATACGTCACCAGTGTGCCATATGTAACAGAATAGTTTCTGGCTAGTCCTTAGTGAATGGCGATCAGAAAACTTGCCTCACTTGCGTGAACTTCTATACAGGACTCAATCAGCTATTACATTTCATTATTTAGAGATGTACTTACACTTGAATAAAAATAACTATGTCGATAACAGATATTAAATTTTAGTTAAGTAAGTAAGTTTTAGTCAAAAAGCATAATTACCATTAAAATTAAAAATTTTTTGTTCACTTTGTTTCAAAACCTTTACAAAATTTATTTATTTTGAATTTTTTCGTGTGTGAGATGCTTAAAAAATACAAGTAAAAAACGACAATCGATTAATATATATGATGATCTCCATTCAGTATATTCAAAATGTCTAACAAGAGTTCTTTTTAGTTTTTTGACCTGTTAATTACCAGGTCACAAACTTAAGGCAATATTTTGTGACTAAGGACTAGATACTGTGTTGTGAATAGTAAGTAGTCACAAATTGAGACTTTACCTCAAATAATGACTGCTTACAGATATAATTATATCAAAAAAAAAAAATACTTGGCAACCCTATAACACAATAACCTTGTAAATAAACATTGGTATTATTTATTAGTATACTTTTAGGCTTTTGGTGGCTAGATACTAACTCAAGCGAGGAGCGATGCTATAAAATTTCGGGATCATTGCCTGTTGAGATTTCAGTGTCAGTGAAATATGTATAACAGCTGTCTTCATTCAAACTATAAAACAGAATAGAATACAAGCTGTAATACCTCCAAAAAGTTATTTTTTTTTTTATCTATTTCTACATTTGTACAGTATGTCAAGAAGATGCTTTGACAAGAGAAATATATCTCGCTTTTCACATAGTCTCATAAAGTTAAGTTATAACGATCCGAAAACATAGAGTTCAGAGTTGTGTTTGCGTAAACTTATTTTAGTATGCAATCCAACAATAAATGTTTTAAAGTAGTATTAAAATTTATGATTTTATGATGCTGTGAGTACCCCATTCGTTTTTTTGGTATTTTTAGTAAGTAAAAGTAATTTGTATGAGATTCTACGRGATTCTTATGACAGGCATTTTAATTTTTCACACAACTGACCRTAGCACATTTTTTTCACTAAATGATGGCAAACTCAAAAAAAAATTAAAACATTTAAGTCGTATGATTCTTGGAATTGGACCCTGTTCCTCTAAAATTAAYAATTTTGTTTTAATTTTTTAGATGACCGAGTGAAATGTTCTTTTGCGAACTTTTCACTTGCAGCAACATATTTCTTTGTTAAAAGTAACTTCTTATTTTCCAATTGTTTTGGAATAGTCTCCTACGATTTCTAAGAGTAGTAAACGACAACTTAATTTTTTTAAAATAATTTTTGAGGATGGTTAGAAATATATTTTATATTTTTAAACTAATTGCAAGCAGTGAAATTTTCTTACGAAATCATAAACTAAGTTAAATAATGCATGTAACTGATTAAAAGAAAATTCATATCTTCACCGAAAAGTCACTAWAAATTTTGGTTGTCAATTTAAAATTTAATCAACATGATAAAAAATATATTTGTAATTATTATTATTATATTAGATATTCTGAAAATTTCACTAATATATCTTTTTAAGTAAAAACCAGCGAAATTTTGAATTAGAAWGAAATTATAGCTAGAATTACAATTTCGTTTTCTACCAACTTTACCACAATAGTTTCCATTAAAGGAAATTAGCATATTAACATTTTTTGTTCATTTTAAGTACGTTCGCCGGTGTGTAATCAGTCTCCCACACTTGCTAAAAATGCGCTCCGGTTCCACAGATGTTGCTGGAATACACAAGTATTTAGGCATACAATCCTTTATTGCATTAAATTTATCGCCTGCAAACAGAAAC